AGGGGTGATCTATGGAAAGGCATTTCTTCACTGGGTCAGTGCGTTCTTTTCGCAGAACCCAAAATCTCGCGGAGAATGAGGGTTTCTTTTTGCACGAATCCTTTGCCGTTTCCCTGGTTTTTCCCTGTCGATGGGCTGTCTACCACCGACTTCGTCATCTCTGAGCATCACAACATACAAGCCTATGGTATCACCGAATGTGCTTCTGCAGTGATGCTGAAGACCATGTGCGATATTTAGGGCATAAACTTCTCGGAGAACAGGAAGGTCCTTTCGTTGATGAACATCCAACACTTGTGAAGTAGTCCAATGTAAGTGGTGAAATATTATACTAGCTGCGGGGTGCTACTACGGTAGAAGTAGGATAGTTCAGCTAAGTGCAGGCGAAGTTTGCGCTATTAAATTAAAGATCCTTTGGACTTTGAGTTCTTACGTTTTTGAGACGGGTAATTTTGTTCGGAATTGCATTTCAAGCAGTTGCATAAACTAAGTGGCGAATATTGACTGTAGTAGATGTATTCATTTTGATTTACATATCTGCTTCCCTTCGAGAATATTAGCAACTTCTGTTCGATCTCATCCTGTCATTGCTTGTTCACAACTTTTGCTATTGAGAAGTATTGAGTTATCGGAGCGCAAAGTCTCGAAAGTCCATAGTCGTCTAGCGTAACTGCCATTTTCACTTGACAACACTTCATGCTAATCACTGAATCTCTGAAAGTCTTGACGTTGAAATTGGTTGAAATTTTTATCATTGGTGCCCTCGATGTTGGTCGTTACATGTTTGGAACGCATGATTGTCATAAGCGATAAGCAAAATGTCTATAAAATTGGCAGTGCTAATTTTTTTTTTTGAAACTTTTGTTGTAGTCGTCTTTTGGGTTAGAAAGTCCCTATCTTTCATCTTTGGTTTTACTTCAGTGAAGTTCCCTCTTCAATATGCTATTTTTTGTTTAGCAATAGAGAAAATATGAATCACAGTTCAGTACACGTTCAGGATTTTAGGATCAGTATGGTTCCTCATACGTGTATATGTAACGCATACACCGTTGTTTTTCTGTTTGCTGAGCTAGCGAGCACGTATTTGGCATCTTTCATAGTCCACGACCGGTCGCTAGCGACTGGCGACCAGTCGCGCGATCGGTCGCTAGACCGGTCGCTAGCGACTGGCGACCGGTCGCGCGACTGGTCGCGGTTTATGAAAGATGCCTTTGATGTGTGAAGCAACATCTTTNCACCGTTGTTTTTCTGTTTGCTGAGCTAGCGAGTACGTATTTGGCATCTTTCATAGTCCACGACCGGTCGCGCGACTGGTCGCGGTTTATGAAAGATGCCTTTGATGTGTGAAGCAACATCTTTTTTTATAGGTCTCAGCATATCGATTTTGAAGAAGAGAATGAAGATTTACAAGATGAAGTGGACTTATTCCATGCGAATGATAGGAAGATAGCTGCAAACGCCTATAAGAAAAAGAATGTACGTTTGAGACTGATTTATGTGTGTTCCGATACGTCCTCTTTTCATTTAAGCTTAGAGCTTCATAAGCTTGCTCTGCAGTTTCTACGCAATGTGAGTCCAATAACATTAGTCTGTAGAATTGCCCGAAACACCCGAGCTGTACCGGCCATCCGGACTTGAATTTGAAAATGAGTTATGCTCTGCGTAATCATGGCGATTCGATTGGCAATCATTTCTTGTCAATTCTAAGACCTACGACCACTTACAAGGGAAGGATCCCAAGTCGAAGTGGCCATTTGAAATGGGACCCATACCGCTAGGCGTATTTTTTGAC